TCGAGTTAGTGCGACAGGTGTTGACCACAACTCACGCCAAACATGTCATCGCAACCACTCGTCAGTCGTCTCACCCAGAGTTGGATCAACTCAGAGACAAACACCCGAATAGACTCCATGTCCTGCAGATTGAGAGTAAGGACTATAAGAGCTATGAGGGGTTTGCCAAAAAGGTGGCCGATATAGTGGGTGACCGGGGGTTGGATACACTCATCAATAACGCGGGAATATTCCTCTGGAAAAAGTTGGATTCAGTGACCGCTGAGGATATGATCGAGAATTTTGAAGTGAATTCTGTGGCACCGCTTATGTTAACCAAAGCATTGCTGCCATTGCTTAAGGTTTGTAACAAAATATTATAAATTTTAAAATGACAATTATTAATTATAATAAATTATTTTGTATTTTGTTACAAACTATTATTCTAAATTCATATACAGGTATAATACTTTATAACTAGAATATATCACTTTTGTAAAACAAAATAATTAATTACAAAATATTCACTTCCCATTAATGACTAGATATTTGTTATGCAACCTTACTTAATATATTGTTATTAATAAAATACTCAAAATACTAAATAATTTTATGATAATATTGCTATAGGTTGCTGCAAAAAATAAAAGGAGGACCACGGTGGCAAATATATCGGCAATATTGGGCTCAATAACCGCGATTGATAATTTTAAAGATTTTTTGTGCCTCCCATACCTTGTCAGCAAAACCTCACTTAATATGATTACCAAATGCCTGTCCATCGAGTTGGGAGCCGACAATATCCGTGCGCTGGCCATACACCCGGGTCACGTGCAAACAGATATGGGTGGTAAGCACGCACCCGTCGAAGTGGATTACAGTGCCACCAGGGTACTAGACATCATTACCAAGTCCAGTGATGATGATAATGGAAAATTAATTAATCTTGATGGATCTGTAATACCTAATTAATTGAATAATATTTTAAATGATAATGAATATTATTAATAAAATAATAGTATTCTCAGAGTATTAAATATAAAAATATTTTATTATGGAAATTCTACTGACATAATTTTAATTTTACTTATTTTACTGTCATAATATTTTGTTTTAAAGTTAAAAATAATTAAAGAAATAATTATTAAATTTGTATAATTTATTGTTATTTTATTTGTTAATATTGCTATTTTTGATTGCTGGATAATATTTCTTTTAATATTTTAAAATATTCTATTTATTCAACAATTGTCATTTTAATTATAAACATATTTATTAATTTTTTAATTAATAACATAATTAATAAATTATTAATTTAAATTCACACTCTTATTTTTCATAAAATATATAGTACACGTATAATAGCACATTAGTCACCATAGACATTATCGAAATGAATGACCTTGGTCGAATAATATCAATGTAAACTTCCCATTAATAATAAAATCAGAAGTAGGTTCATTATAAGTCAGTGAAAATGATATCTTTATATACTGCTTATAAAAATTTGTCGTATACAATTATAATTTTTAAAAAGAAAATTTTGTTTTTTATTTATCAAATTATAATATTTTAAAATTTATTTATTATATGAATTAGGTAATTTACTAATAATAAATTTACTATAAAGCTAATTATATAATTTTTAAAAACCAATATTATGTAAGTTAACCAGTTTTACTTTTGAGATATACGACAAATTTTATTATACACTTCACAGTAAACTTAATGATATTTATACTAGTACTAATAAGCAAAGTATAAGTTCACATTTTTTATTAGTACAAATACACATGATTATCAACGAGATATCAACTATTTAAGAGTTTATAAATTCCAAAAAATAATTTTATAAATGTTAAAATTACAACTAGTAAAAATATTGTAATTTAAAAGTATTTATAAAACACATTTTAGTGGCCAGGTTACTTTTAGAAAATAATAAAAATGAGTTTTGAGACGGTGTTAATCACAGGCGCCAATCGAGGCATTGGACTCGAGTTAGTCCGACAAATACTGACCACAACTCCCGCTAAGTATGTCATCGCCACCACTCGTCACAAATGTAACCCACAGTTGGATCAACTCAGACATAGACACCCTTATAGGCTCCATGTCCTGCAACTGGAAATTACCAATTTTAAAAGCTATGACATTTTTGTTAAAACAGTTGCCCATATAGTGGGCGCCCGAGGGTTGGACACGGTCATCAATAACGCGGGTATTTTACTCGACAAACGTCTGGATTCAGTGACCGCTGAGGATATGCTTAAGAATTTTGAAGTGAATTCTGTGGCACCGCTTATGTTAACCAAAGCATTGCTGCCATTGCTTAAGGTTTGCATGAATTACTAACTTTTATAATAAATTATTTATATTTATTCATTTGATTTATTAATAATTTATTTTTTTAAAATAATTATTAATAAATAACTTAACATTAAATATAATTTTTGACATGTATAACTTATAACATAGGTAGCTGCTAAAGCTGACCGGCAAAGGACCGTTGTCAATATATCGTCATTTTTAGGATCAATAACAGAAATACATAAATCACCGGATTATATGTATTACCCCTACTGTGTCAGTAAAGCGGCCCTCAATATGATCACCAAATGCCTGTTCGTTGATTTGGATGCCGACAATATCCGGGTGCTGGCTATACACCCGGGTCACGTGCAAACAGATATGGGCGGTCCCAATGCGACCACTGAAGTGCATACTAGTGCCCAGGGTATAATCCGTATGATTAAAAATGATATTGATAATGACCAATGCAAATTAATAAGTTTTGATGGTACTATTATACCATTTTAAAAAAAGTTATTCAAATTGAAATTTTATTTAATAAATATTCTAAAAATTAACTAAAATTGTAATATAAAATGTTAATTATAAAAAAGATTATTAAATGATTGAATAAATAATTTTTTAAAAAGTAAGTATTTTTATTATTTATGAATTTATTATAAAAAAGATTTTAATAAAATTAGCAAATTTTTCATTAAATATTTTTAAAATAATGATTTAATTTAAAATACATTTAAATAACAGACGCATAATAATACTATAATAAATTATAGTTTATAAACATGCAAATATACGGTTATTTATTAGTTTGCAATAATATAACTGAATAGTTGAGCATAAATGTGAAAATCTAATTTTAAAAATTGATCATAATTAATAGTCATTTAAAAATTCATACAAAACACTGATCACCTTGATAAGTGTGGATTTGTTGAGTGCAGCGAACCCGCCGATAGTGAACCCAAATGTACGCGTATTTCGCATTACAGTCGCAAACGTAAGCCATTCCCGAAACTCCCCGTCCGACAGATCCCGGGTATTCATTGAATTCAAAGCATGTCTAATCTTGTTGGCCTTTGTAGTAATGGATCCACAGATGAAACACGAGATAATCATTTCGACGATTCCCGAAATAGTCCG